GGCATAGAGGCACTAATGGTTGTACACAGAGGGTGTACAACCTCTGGATCAAGGTAGCTTGCACCCAGCCAGTCTGGAACATAGCCCAAATCTCCCTTACTTAGTGTAAACATTTCCTGAGTATCCTGCCAGGCTTCACACATCTGATTCCATCTGGCATCTATTTGGGAGGTTGCTATTTCCAACAATATACATAATTTCATTCCTCCCTTTGGATAGTTTTCCTTCCCCGTAGCTCAGACATCAGTTGCCAGCACAGAGAACTTCATCCTCTGTCATCTGTACTCATGCCCACTGGCATCATGTGCTTTTGAAGCTTTCCTGACCCTTTGATGTTCTTCATCAAGATTCCCCTTAAGCACTCAGGTTACAAACACTCCTCTCCCTAGGACTGCATGGCCTGTGATATTGCTTAAACTTTTTGTGCACAACACATCCTATGTTTCTGCTCTTCTGTATTCTTTCCACTGGATCTTAGTGCCAGCACAGACTGCTTCCACACAACCCGTTCTTTCTGATTTCACAACATTGATCACAGAACACTGATCAGCAGACAGGGCTGGGGGTAAGCTTATCTAACTCACCCTGAATCCCGTAAGTGTTCTATGGTGGCCCCTTTCTAATCCTGTTTCTACTCTGAGCAGATTTGCTACAGGGAAATATTGTAATGAGAATAAATTCTGTGTCAGAAGATTAGTTTTCAATCTCATAGTGCCTGAAAGAATCTGTGTATGAACTCTTGTATTTAACAGCAGGGTGATGGTGTAGTAACCAACATCACGTGTAATATTAGATAACCACTAAAGTCAAGGAGCACTGGAGAGCAGTGAAGAGGAAAAAACATTGTTTGAAAATACAGCCTATCTGTGTGGAAACCCTAGAACAGTCTGCCTGGATGAAATCAGACCTTGACCCTACCTCTGCCTCTTTTGTCTGGTCTGGTTACAGGCCTCTCGGTACCTCCTGCCAATACTCTGCATAGCAAAAGAAAAACTGTTCAGAAATTTACCTTGTTGAAAGAGCTTTATTCCTATCGTGCCAGTCAAGCACAATAATGTTCTTTTCACCTGGGAACATGCTGCTGCCAGCAAAAGGCCCCCAAATGCAATTGTTCCCACTCTGACTTGCACTCTCAGGTCTAGATAGCTGCCATCCTGCTTTAGCCACCTGAAAGTTATATGTCTCTTCTAGGCTCCCTGTACAGTCAGTGGAGAAACAGCGGGAATGATTTATTGCAGTCTAACGTAGATGCCTGAGATAGATGAGCTGAATTGCCCTCTAGAGGATATCTATTTCTCTTCCTTGACTTAAGAGGTATTCTGGATCAGTAGCCTGCACTAGAGTTTCTGTTGGTTGAGAGTAATCTAACAGGTTTGATTCAGCATTATTGCAAATAGGTAAGCATGACCGTATCTGTGCATGATTCAAGTCAATGGGACCTTTCACGCTGAAATGCTTGCCATATCAAGATATAAGGAATGGTATTGCAGTTCACTCTAGAAGCCTCAGCTTTTACAGCAGACTGATGTGTGCATGATGCTTGTACCTGTGTGGAAGTAGAAGGGACACTGCAGATATAACTACAGAGCTAAGAGAAACCTGGGAGGGGGGTGGTTAGTCTGTGCCTTTTCTCTTTTATTTAAGGTGAGAAGGAGAATTTCCACAATGACATTTGACAAATTACCTTAATAGGGTAGTGTTTTGTATGATGAAAGAACTGATCCCCAAACACTTCCCCATGTGGTTTGCAGGCAGTGTATAAGTGTGCACTTCATATCATGCTGTACCTCTGCAGAGAATTTTCAGGGAACACTTCACTACTTCGGTTATTATCAATGAGAGCAAAACGAGAAGCACCAGTGCAGACAGGCAGAGTTGTTTTGGTTAGAACAGACTCAGTCTGATAGAGCAAAGATTTCACCTCCAGGACCATCATCAGCTCCTTATGCCTAGAGCTGATACTAAACTGAAAGGCCTCATGCAGGATATAACATAGAGGCCCTCTTCTCCATCCTTTAGGCTGCAAAACTTGCATTGCTATTAAACTTAATCTGGTGTGGTCTGAGTAAATTGTTCAGGTTGCGTGACCCTAAAAACAACTCTGGTTACTCAGTAAAAAACAGTTACTGTTTTGAGCATTGCTAATATGTAAGAAATTAGACAATTAGACCACCAGGTACATTTCTCTCATACCTCAGCCTGCTGATCATAAATTGAAGAGCTGCCACTTCTGGATTAGCATGTTTGTGAGGATTTAAATGTACCAATTCCAAGGCATCATCTCACTTTGAGAAAACTACGCAAACAGTGCCAGACTAACAACACTAAATGAAAACCCCACCCACTGGGCAAGTGCTGAAAAGCAGTAATAAACTGGAAACAGCCAACTGAATGGATGATTTTGGTGAGAGCAACCTGGTCCTCAGCTTCCCATTTTGAACTCAGAGGAAAAAAAAAAACCTCAATGGGAGATCAAAACTTGACCCTTGTGTACAGTAGATACTGAGCTGGGAAAGGAAATCTGATGAAAAAGCTGAATGAAATGCTGTGCTAATCCCTTTGAGAAAGCACGCTTGAAGAGTGCTCTGCCATCCAGAGCAAAGTCTAGGTTCAGCTGTGACATCCCCCTCAGGCTCCCAGAAAGTTAACAGGACACTGCCCAGGCCCAGAAAAAGTCTTTAAGCATTAGTCATAATAATGAACAGCATTCTCTCTTAATCACTGCTAGGAAAAAAAAGTTGTATAACAATTGGATGTCCTGGCACTATCCAAACCACCCTTTGTTGACCCTCCAATGTGAGACTGAAAAGACATTCCCATGAAAAAAAAAATCTGTTGAAATTTGACATGTAAGTGTGAATCTGCTATTCCTTTTTGTCTGCAGAGGTAGCCTGCCTCCAATCCCTTTGCTTCTCCTGTTCCTAGCAGCTGGGGATGAATGAGAGCCAGGTCGTGTGCAGAGCCTTGTTTTGACACTGCTTAGATCTATAGTTTAAAAAAAAAAAAGGCAGGCATGAAAAGAGCCCCAGAGCAAGGCACACACCTGCCTGTTATTGGGGGTGACAACACAGGATTAAGTAGTTTGGATATAGACTTGTATGGGAGCTTTGACTCGGAAGCCTAATCGTTTCCTAACCAATGGTTAGAAAAGCTGCTGTATCCTTGGCTCTTTCCTGTGGCTTATTTGGAGGCTTAAGGGATCCTTCTGAAATGGCACCATCTTTTGTACTCACCCTTTGCTTAGCTTAAAAAATAATGCAGGCATGTAGACCTATTAAAAAGGGTCTCCAGGAAAACAAGCTTTTTTACTCTAAGCACAAGGGCTGAAAATTAAAATGTGCCCAGATGCACATGCACACACACACACACTCTGAAAAGCTCTGCTTCTCATCCTTTTACTTCTGAGCAGAGGGAGTGAACTTTTAATTGTAATATCACAAAGGCCTGATCACATCTTGGTTCAAAGTCTGTCTTAATCAGCCCTGACCACACACACAGCTGTCTATCTCATTTCCTTCATTTAAGAAACATCATTGGCCGAGTCAATCCCCACATCTGACATGCTTTAAAACGTGCCCTGATTTGGTCATATGCTCCAAAGATGCACATGTATATATTTCAGGTTCAAAAGGCTTTGTTTGATTTTTCATTTTGCCTGTTTTTCATCAAATAGCCAGAGTCTGCTCATAGCTACATCTTATGCAGTATTATTAGACAGAAGTTTAAGGCAAGATACCTCAAAGTCCACTGTACTACTTGGAGCACTTGCTATTTTCCTGTAAGTTGGGACCATATTGTTACAACCAATATTATATTTTACATCTGTGTCTAATTACATGGGAAAGACAGCTGTGCTGAGGGCAGACAGATTTGAGGACTTGAGTGGACACTGCTGTATGAATTATTCATTTTCCATTATTCCATATCTCCTCCTTTTTACAATAGTTTCTGACAAAACATACTTAGTATAGGAGTGAGTGTAAAAGGCAAGAGGATGCTTTGTGATACTTCGTGACTGATAGCCAATCCTAAAGTACAATGATGAAATTTTTCATTACACTGCTGTCAAGGGGAGAACCCAAATAAACCAGCCATCTCTGAGCCAGAACTGTCTGCACACCGTCCCTAACATAATTGATGATGCCTTTGACAAACAAGGCCATTGTCTTGTCGGCTGGTGTTTTGTTAGACAGGGAGGCGGATGGAGAGAAAACTAGGGTTTGCCAAGAGAAAAGAAGCAAAAATCAGCAGGGAAAGATGCTGTGTTGTCAAATATTGGGTGAGGTTTTGGAAACTTGCTTTTACGTTTCTTTAATTGTGAGGTGTATCTGCAAATCTGTGGTACTATTAAACAGATAAAACGCAGTCATCAACAGCTGCCCCTTCAGCATGTGACATGTGGGCTCTTATTTTGGGAGTTACCTTAGATGCACAACTGGGATTTTGGCCATAATTCTCTGGAAGCCAGACAATGTACACACCCAAGCTGAAATGCTAAATAAACACAGACTGAGTAAAGCATTCGCAAGCCATTTGTATAACTCATCTGAAAGTGTTGTACATTTATTGATTCAGCTTGCTTTCTGATCCACCAGAAGCTGTCCCAGTTTCTAACTGGGGAATATGCCCCACAGTTCATTTGGGAACATTAGTTTTCCTGAACTGCAGCCCCAAAATGAAAAAAAAAAAAAAAAAAAAAAAAAAAAGCAGCACTTTTTTCCTACCTCCTCATTAGATTCTGCCAATGCTGTCAGTCACTGTCCTGTAATACTTTCCCTTAGGAATAGGATGGGAGAAGGTCTCATCTTCCTGAATCAGGCTCTACTTTCAGTTGGTGATAGGTAGTCTATATGATGCTAATGATTTACCCATTATGTGACCCTAACTGATGAAACCGGAAAACAGGAAATAAGAGGGGAACAAAGATGGACCCAGAAGCTGCAGAAATATCAGAAATTTAAGGCAAAAACTCCACAGGTAGATCCTACATACAGAGATATTACAGTGAAATCGGAAACCTGGATTCAAGCCAACCCAGATGTTGGCAACCTCTTACTTCTTGTGGCTCAGACCTGTCTGCAGTAAAGGAAGCGTGTGTTTCCCCCCCTTATGCCCAAATCTATGACATCCATTTTTTTCAGTGACGGACAGAATGAATTGTCTCCTCTTTTAGGGTGATGTAGTCAGCCCTGCAAAAATCTGGGCGAAAATAATTCAAGTTGAGCAGCAACAAATCAGAACTTGCCTTTGAAACTGTCAGTGCTAATGAGCACTTCATTGTTACACCTGCTCTCCAGAACTGACAGCAAAATCCCTGGGTTTGCTCCCAAAGTCAAGACTGCTTTGTGGCAAACAGGCGAGCCTGCTGCCATCCGCCAACCAGCTCATTGTGTTGAGTACATTGCCCATGACAGCACGCTTATTTTCTGTCCTTAGGCTATTGTGCTAGTGTCCCTTGAAAACAACGGACTGAGATCTGTCTACAGCAGAGTGTAATAATATTATTAAAAATATTGGCATAAAGAACACAGGGCATGGTGAAAAAAAAAACCTATGTAGTAAGCAGATCATAAGAGAAATGCCCTTTAAACAAAATTGCTCACCCTTTTTCTCGTACTATTTTCAAAAGATATTTTCTTTTCTTGAGCATCAACTGTGAGGTTGCAGATGAAAGTGAATCTGACCCTGCTACACTTAACACTCTTTATAGTCATATACTTGCCTATTCCCCTTGGAAAATGATGTGTGGAATCAGAGTGTTCATTTGGTCTCTTATCTGTGAGCTCATGAAGAAAAGTAGTTTGATCAGAAGCAATGATGGGCAAACTTCAAAAGCTTTGGAGATCATGTTTGGTTCAGATAAGCATCCAAAAGGCTGGTCCCTGATCCAAGCTATCTAAACACCTTGGGTGTCCAACATTTAACTGAAAATCTCTGTTAAAGCAGGTCTTAGCCACAAGATTTTTATTTCTGCCCTCTTCCAGATGGATGAAGTAGTGATGCATTTCCTTTTCAGTCTCTGCTACAAGCAGAAGCCAGGGCATGCTGCTTTGTTAATACAAAAAAGAGCTGAAATATGAAGGCCTGGAGTTCAGCTCAGTTCTCAGTTTAATCAAACTTGTTTGAATATCAGAAATGAGTGGGTATGTTTATTGCTTGTATTTTACCTCTGCAGAGCTGTTGGCAGCAGGCTTGACCATCTCAGCTAGCCTCTGCCCTGACAGAGAGGAATCAACTGTGTTGGCTTTGCACCACTATCTGTATATTACTTTCCACCTCGCTCCCTGATGCTGTCACACTGGGAATGTACTGGTGGCCTGGGATTATGACAATTTATTGTCTCTGAAGGCAGAGTTGCTCACAGGAGCTGTTTTACTACCAAGTTGCCTTGAGTTGCCAGGCTGGTGTCAAACTGGCTATAGCATTAGAAAGATCTGGGGTTTTTTCCCTCCTATTTGCTCATCTCCAGCTACATGTAAAATACGTCTAGTGAGTTTAGAGATCTTCTCTCATTCTGTCCACCTTCCTTATAACAAATCTGCTCACGTATTCGTACAAAAAATTTCATCAGCTTCCTTACACACATACAGTACTGCATGGTGAGACGTGTCCCTTAGAACTCGTACTGAAGGAAATTTGTGGACTCTGGAGGCAGAAATCGAAAAAACGTTTCAGGTCATCTGAAGCACCTGCATAAGCCACATCTAGCCCCAGAGGAAACAGTAGTTTTGTGATCTCTGTGTTCACAGGAAAGACAATATAGGCAATAATTATCATTTTTTACCTCGTCCATGCTAGCGAGTTTTTTTGCAAAACACTTTGAAAGTGAATCACCTGCAACCCTCTTCAAAAATAAACACATAGTGGAGGCTTCCTGCCACCACTTCAAAACCCTGTATGGTCAAGATTTGTGTAGTAGGGAAGAACTGACTTTCACACATAAATGGGTCCCAGCTGGACTTGGTTTGCAGTGCTTAATGAGTTAAAAAGAAACAAAAATAATATTGCAAATGTAGGCTGACAATGCATGTTTACCAGTTCTGACTTAAAACTACTGAGCATAAGGAAGAGGGCACGAGTTTATCAGCCTTGCAAGAATGTCACTTAACCAGATGACCCCTGGGCACATAATCTCAGTCACCTCTTACCGTATCTCCATAGCTTGCGCCTGCCAGCCAATGGGTTCAGCCGACGCAACTTTCAGCAGAAGCTGGCGATGCCACCCCAAGACGGGATTCTGCTACTGCAAGCCAGGTGTGGCGGGCCCCAACTGCGATAGATGTCTCATGGGCTACTGGGGCTTTGGAGAAAATGGCTGTCGCCCTTGTGACTGTGCCAGAGACTGCGACCAGCATACTGGAAACTGTTTCAATGGGTAAAGAAGCCCTCCTTTGGGTTGACTTTGAGATGGGATTCTGTGAAATGAAACAAAGATTAACTGAAATACTGCAGCAATGACAGTAATTGGAGGATGCTGGAGGGTGCACAATCATTTGAAAAGGTGGCTATAAATCATAAAAGATTTCTTAGATTCCATTTGGTGGCTGGCACACTTTTAAGTCCATTGTATTATCCAAGGCAATCTGGAAATGATGACTTTTTGCAGTAATAATAGGCAACTCCACAACCCCATGGAAATATGTACAGCATCTTTAAATACACCTGTTTACCTTGGAAATAGATGGAAGAGTCTGGAGAGCTTGCCTCTCATCTGTGCCCAGGGTAAAATGAATTACAAGGTCTCCCTCTTGTTTCTAGACAGGCATCTGTACCCCAAATGTGCATTAATCAGTACAGAAATCCTATGATTTGCTGAGTGACTGCAGTTTTATGGGTCCTGCAGGTGTCCTCAGTTCCTAGTGACATCAACAAGTGGTCACTAACTTGGAGTTACTTAATTCCATAAAAACAAACAAACAAAAGCAAAAAAGGCCCAATATATAGTTACTTTAAAAAATGCTAAGCCAGCAGTGGTAAGGCCTGCTTTACCACTAGGTAAAAGCCTAGATCTTGTGATCTCTCCATATGGCATGAAGTCTTGCTCTTATTTGCACTCCCAATTTGAAGAAAGCAAGCTCATCTGTCTGGATACAGCCACATGTTACAAACACCTGCTTCCCACCCATCTCATGTCCTAACCAAGTCTTCTGTTTTACGTGTCCCCCCAGCTATGACAATGAGCCATTCTTTAACATCCCCATTGGGGGACGAATCCCTGACCTTGTGCAAACACCAACCAACGAGAGCGAAGAGGAGTGGAAATGGAATGACCATGAGCAGGGATTTTCTGCACTGAGGCACCCAGGTACAGCCCAGAGTCTGGGAACATTTAGTAACTTCACTAAGTGCCAGTTCTTTCTTCTCTCCACCCTGACTTAAATTCCCCGCTCATCTCTAGATTGTCTGTCCTCCACCTGCTGGCAGTATCTGCTAATCTGAATTATATAAGTTATCATTACACTTAACATTGTTATTTTCCAAACCAACTATACTATCCAACTTTGGTTTTGGAAATTGGTAAGTCATGAATAAGATTGTGTGGAAAAAATACTCTCCTTTTGTGTCGTAATTATAACGCTTATGATTTTACACAGCTCCTTCTCAAGCATCCAGTTGCTGTTCAGAACTTCAAATGCTATTTGTAAAAAGATCATGTCAGCCATCACTGAAATGCACCACCTCTGGAGCGGAATGCAAGTGATTTTAAGAGTAAAAGATGTTCCTCATGGCACAATAGCTCAGGAGAGAAAGTAAAGTATACTGTATCCAGCTAAAGTTACAAAGTAGGCTTATAGAATGAGGTGGAGCCTTTAATACTTAAATAGTTCTCAGTTGTGCTTGCTGTGTATGAAGGTCAGCACTTACCAGCATCAATGGCTTTGTAAGACCCAGAGGTAGTAGTGCCACCTGTTGCATATCTTGACTTTTCTGAGAGGGATATTACCTTAATACCAGCAAGGATCAGCATTTCGTAGCTTATGGGATCGAACAAGGGTATTATTACTTACATGATTTACACCTGGATCTGATTCTTACAAATCTCTTTATTAGTATCAGTTTATTAACTGTACAATAGACCCCATGAGAGCTGCATTTTACTTGACAGTACTGATCAGATTTCAGAACAATTATTGTATCATCTAACAAGAAACAGATTTGCAAATAACTGAGCTCACTCTCAAACTTACTCTTAAGATCCATCCAGATTATGGGAGCTATATACATACGACTTTATAACTGAGTATCATTTACTTTTCTTTTCTCTCTCATGTCCTGGCTCTTCTCCAACCCTTTGTGTTCTGCGGTTCCCCTGCTAGAAAAGTGTGTGTGCAAAGAAAAGGTGCTTGGAAGCGTCACTGACTTCTGCCAAATGAAATATGCTTATGGTAAGTGGGTGACATGCCCTCAAGGTATGATAATTTCACAATGTTCTCTCTATGCATGTTATTAGCTGATAGCTATGAAAAATGACAGGACTGGCTAAGTCATGAAATAAGAGGTAGGATTTCTTCTGCCTTTTTTGTCTAGTGACATGTCCAACTTCTGATCAGAACTGAATAGCATTTTTCATGCAAGGCTCTGCAGCGTCTCCCTTCCACCCAGTTAGCTTCCCTCTTTACAGCAGCAGGAGTGCTAGAATTGTAAGTCAGTGGAATGGTCGGCCTCTACATCAAGAATAAATGATAAAAACCTTGCATCTAAGCTGCCATTGTTTGTGCACTCATTATGCAGGTTCAAATGGCCATGCTTGTTTACCAAGAATGCATTTAATACTATGGTTTATGAACGCCTGGTTCATGCCATCACATGAAGCAAGAAAGGAAAGCTCTGGGATCCAGAGGTTTGATGTGCTTGTGTCATGACACAACAAAGCCTGCTTGTGGGGCTGATCTAGATGAACCTACCCTGCCAAAAAGTTAGGGGATCCTATTAAATTAAAGGAACAGAAATTTATCATAGCAACCAGATGTTGGGCCACAAAACAAAAATGCTTTTTCTGGTTTGTTGTGCAATCACAGAATTTTAGCCATGTGACATGCCTGCAGTCTGATGGGGAAACTTCCTGACTTCCTTCCTGTAGAGCAGACAGTCCCTTCCCACAGGACAAAATTTTTGAGAGGCCAGTGTTAAAGCTCAACACAAGTTTTCAAACTGCAAAATATAAAGCCTAGAAGCAGTGCACTTAAAATCAGACTGTTAGCTGCTGATCTGTTTTTTCCACCCTTCCTGTGTATACATACAAGTGCTTTCCTATGATTTCCAAGTGTTTGACATCAGCCCATTAAAAAGTAGTTGCTAAATAACATGGTGAAAGGATCAGTTAACTACTTCAATAGAAAAATCTAGTTTTTCTTCTCCAAATTTATTTAGAAGAACCATGACTGAAGTGGACAAGCATTGGAACTCACTTGCTGTACCACGGCAGTGTTTTTTCATGTCTTCTTTCAAGGTGCTAAAATTCTACCTTTTAGCAGCAGTGAATTTAGAAATTCATTGCTGGTCTCTATCTTGATATGTTTTCTGGCAGTGATAAAAGCAAGAATCCTATCAGCTCATGACAAAGGGACCCATGCAGAAGTTGTTGTGAAAGTGAAGAAGGTCCTGAAATCAGGCAAAGTGAAAATTGCTCGGAGCAACAGAAGCATTTACCCAGAATCCTGGACCAACAGGGGATGTACATGTCCCATTCTCAATCCTGGTAAGGACAAAATATTTACCAGGTATTTTCCTTTCCCTGTAAAGAGTGGTGACAATTCATTATGAACATTAGCTATGGCTACTCAACACTTCCCATCGGTCTTTCCGGGGGCAAGAGTCCTTTGATTCATCCACACCAACAAGGGAGTCAATAGACAGCTGCAGGAAAAAGCATTTTCTTATCAGAGAACAAAGGTTTACCAAAAAGCCCAAATCTCCCTGGAAATGTTTTACTTTCAGTGACTTTATTGATCTTCCAGAATATTTGTAACTAGAAAAATGTTTGTAAGAAAAAAAATCCCTGTACTTTTATGTCCAAAGAGTTTTCTTCCTCACTCTGTATTCTCGCATCATTCTTTACTTCTTTTTGGAAAAACTAGAAATTATATGAAAATTTGGAAAATGGAGGGAATCTAACTTCTTCTATGCCTTTGTAATGGTTTCAAATAATGAAAAGTAAGTCTTTCTTCTACTGTAAATTCTAGTGCATTCAATGGTTTGTTCCATCAAAGGCTAAAGCTGACAACCTGAAGCATATTGGAAACCAATCGTGGGTGGGAAGCATAAAACCAAATTAATTTAATTTCAAACCAAGACAGACAGGAAAATCTTTAATAATCAGAAAAATAATCTTTTAAGTAAATAAAGCCCCTCTTTTTATAACCAGTTTAGGATAGGTCTCTAGGTTTGCTCCCTAACCACATTCTAACAGAATGATCCATGTTTGTTCACTTTTAATTATGGGAATCTCCCAGCAGCAGTGGAGTGGAGAAGTAGGGTAGTAGAAAGCAGCAACCTTCTCCCCAGCTCTGCTGCAGGCAGAAACATCATGCTATAGACTGCAAAGCTCCATACTACTGCTGAATAATGTTATCAGTGGCTGAGCAGATACATTCCGCAATTCAACCTTCCCTATTGCTGGCTTTCCTGCAATACAACTTAGTGGACCACAGAGAGAAATATGTTTACTTGAAAAACAGCTGAAATCTCTGGGTAAATCTCGGAATCCTACAAATTTGAGCCTGGAGTCTATTTTTTTCAAGTAGAATCATTTAGGTTGGAAAAGCCCTTTAAGATCATCGAGTCCAACTGTAAACCTAACACTGCCAAGTCCACCACTAAACCATGTCCCTAAGTAGATGCTAGGTGTCTAATTCTGACAGATTTTGATTACTCACAGCTTTCCTTCATATAACTGGAAGTTCCAAGTCTTTGGGACCGTGTCCTGGGACCAAATCCCAGTAAGACAAAGACTTTGGGTGTCATTAGGGTGACCAGTAGTGTATGCTGGGGATCATGTTTCATTATTCAACCTTACACCACAGAAAATGGTGACTTGCCATCATTCTAAAAGCAGCACCCGATGAAAAAAACATGGGGTAATTTTTCTCTCTGAATAGATTAAAAACATATCCACTGAGTGAAAGGAATTCCTTGTGATTCACTTAAAATGTAGGTTTAATCTAACCTTTAAGACAAGTTCTTAGCTGAAATTAACCACATTAAGAGACAGCTGTTTTAGGAAAAGCTGTGTCAAATCAAACTCTGTATGAATTTCTGCTGTTATGGCAAAATGAACTGTACTGTCTCAGAAACAAATTTTGTCATCCATTATCTGTATCAAGTGAAAGACTGCATCTGAGTTTGCATTGAAGTGTAATATGGACCCTGAGCTCTCTTTTTGGGAGTAGTTCTTGAATTGGCACATAAAATTTTTGGCTTAATGTAGTCCAAATGAATAAGGTGCTTTCCTTTACTTAAACTCCAGTGGCACAGTTGTGCATAATTAAGCATTTACCAGTGCTCCCTATGAAACTGTGGGAGCCCTGAATCAGACATGAATAAAACATATTGCTTAAAGATGATGAGACTACATCTGATCCCACACAGATATTTGAACAGGGAAAATATCACAGGACATTTTTCTCCTTTATACCGCTCTAGCTTTATTTTGCATCTCTTTAGAAACATAGGGCTGAAGACCTACAGTTCAGAAATTTAGATGCTTGAGGTACAGGTGTTATGCCATTGCCTCTTGATATAAATTAAAGCTATGGACAGGTCCCCATCACTGCAGTTCTGCAGATTTCAACATATTGTTTGACTGAACCCCTGCTCCAAGATCACAGTATGCCCTGACTCATGGTGGAAACCTTACTTTTTTGCTCTTCTTGGGGCTTTTACACCCTCCTTTCTATACAAGCATCAGCAGTTGCTTCCCAGCACATAACTTTCAAGAAGGAGGGCAGGAGGGGACAAAGGCATAAGCAGCAGCCACCAGATCCCTGCAGATCTGTGTGCAGAACCTCACACATAACTTGTCATGGGTGTGCCTCTGTTTCTCTAAACTCTGATCAATGAGGGAATTTTACTTACTACAATTAATGCAACACAAAGAGTGCTTATACATCTACTAAGGCAGTGACATGATTATTAGTAGTACTTGTTTCTTGTCTCCATGTGTAGTTACTTTTTTGTTCACAGACCTCTTTTTTGAGGCTCTGCTACCTGTATCTTAAGGTTATAATCTAGGAAGTCCAGCTTACTATTTTCATATGTAATACCAGCTTCCACATCTGTTCAGATCAAATTCTGCTACTCATCATACCTATACAAGCCAGTGGTAATGCTACTGCAGCACACGGAGTTACAATGGCTTAAAACAAAGGTCAGACAGAGACTCAAACCTGGTCATCTGCACATGGAAGTGTTGAATTTGTAAGCGGTAAGGCCACTGGAATGAAATCAATTTGTAGTTGTAATTCCTGAGCATAATCATATGACAACATTGAACCTGTGTGCCCAGGAGTCAGCATTGACAATATGCCCATGAAAGTATGTTTACACGTAAGATGGCACATGCGTAAACTGGATGAAGCTGGCTAAGATGCTACATGCCAGATGCTTGTGAAATAGAGAAATTCTGCATTTGGTTCTGTTTTCTTCTATTTATTGACTGAAGTTTTCTTTTTTTGTTTGTTTGTTTTGTTTTAAACTAGGTACTGACTATCTTATAGCAGGCCAGGAGGACTCTAGGACCAGCAAACTCCTTGTGAACATGAACAGCCTGGTGAAACCCTGGAAAGCATATTTGGGAAAACAAGTATCAGATATTCTTCGAACTGGGTGCAAATAATTTCTGCTTCAGAAGTTACAGTGCTGAACTTTGCCTTTTAGTAACACTGCAGTGAAAGGTGTAGTTAGTTCATGTGTTCCCATTCAACATGCTCCTAGCTGAAGTGATGAAAGCAGATTTACCATCCTTTCTCCTTTCATGTGCTTAGACAGGAAACTTGGGACATGACTACTTTTTTCAAAAAATGCACAGCCTTATCATACAAAATTAACTAGTGCATCATGCATAGGTTACAGGTCAGTTCTTAATTTCAGCCTGATTCCACGCAGCCAGAGAATCATTTTACAAGGCAAAACTAAAGATATGGATTAGTGTTTCCATACTTCAGGTCAGAGCCTGATATTAATATGCATAAGCTGCTTACATAACGCATTAATTACTTGGGTGTAGTTTTCTTTATAAGTGACCACTAACAGGCAGCAATTTCTTTCAGCTTTACAAGTGGCATAATACTAAACAAGCACATCAAATAATACTTATTTAAAAGAGCTCAGATTGATTTAACATCAGGCTGCAAATATGCCTATAGTACAGGCTGCTTTCTAGAAGGCAATATTATTCCATTGCTGAACAGAACAAACTAACACGTGACTTATCTTGGGACAAGGTCCTTTATAGATGTACATTGCTGTGCTTAGTGCTGAGGTCTGTTGCAGAAAGCACCTTGGCTCAAACTTGATTCCAAATCCAACCTTTGCTCTTTAAGGTCATTTTGCTCTTTGCTGTAGTACTTTAGTCTGTAACACCACAAAGGTTTCACAGTGATTACCACTAAAAAGCCTTATGCTAGGAAAGAGCCAAAACATGCGAGGAACTAGTAGCTGCTCTAACGTTGAGATTTTAACACTACAAAAGCTACAAGGCAGAAGCAGGAGGAGGTAAATGGATTGGCTGGACTGTGTATTAAATGAGGTAGCTATAGTTACTGTGAGAGCAACCTGGCTATTCAAACTGTGCTCAAGACCACTGGCTTTTGATTGCACTTAGCGCTTTCGTTCTGCTTTATTTCTCCTGGTCACACTTCACGTTAAGATACTGAAGCTAGGCTTCCTTCCCATTGTGCCTGAGGATTATTTTTTCCCTCCACAGAAGTATAGGAGCGGTAATATCTTCACTCTAAGTAAAAATAGTTCTGTTCTGCAAAAGCATTCTTTCTAAATCAATTATACCCTACCCTATAGTAATTAAGAGGTAGTTACTTAAATCATTCCCTACCACAATATTTTGAGGAAAGTGTAGTTTAAGACCTGTGTCCCGTTTAAGGACTCACGATCAAATGAAGCTGGTTGGAGCACATTCCCTCATCAAGTAAAGCAGGAATTTTAATGAGTCAGTCTATTCTTTCAGGGGGTTACAGAGAAAAAGCACGCACACGTGCTACTTTTGCATATTTCTATTCCATGTCTATAATTTTTTAATGCTCTCAGGAAAGAGGAGATATCTTCATTTAGCACTGACTGGCGCACAGAGTATCTACAAAAACCTAATACTAATGCAGAAGGATGGAAGTCCCAGTCTACAACTTAAGCCATCAGTTTGTTCTCTTTATCACTGGGAACCTGAAAAACCAGCTTCTTTCATTCCATTTGTCACTGTTTTCCTTTTAACTTCATATTGGTTGAACAGCAGAAAAATCCTCAGCTCATTTGGAAATGGGTGACAGGCAGATATTTACAAAATAAAAGCCCCACTTTTCTCCCAACAGTGCATAAACAGTGTTTCTTCCTCCCCTCTTTTCAGAAAGTCTCCCCTCCTCCATTGCCATTGCTTTCCCTCTTTCACTTCATTATTTATTTGTTGTTACCTAAAGTGGTATCCAACAATGTGGCATCTCCAACAAGCCATTTAATTAATGCAATAAAACACTTTTTAACCAAGGAATTTGGCTTAATTTGAAGTGTCAGCTTACAGAAGTTAAGAGCATAGCAACTGCTTTCTTCACTGTCTCCAGAAATCATCTCACAACAAAAAGATTGACTAGTTCTTTTTCAAATATCAATAAAAATAAAGATGTGTACCTGAATTTACAGTCTGTTCTCAAAGGGGGGGCCTCTCAGAATAAATGAATATCAAGTGTAGGTTTAGAACTAAGCTGAGGAACATGCTTTTCAACACAGGCCATTTTATCTGCAGGGGATCTTAATTAATGATGATCATATTCCATTTTAGTTTATACTCAGTACCATATTAAAGCAAACTCCTGTATTCCACTTTTTGTGCCAGATTGGTGATTTTAGGGGGAGGGTAAACATCTGCATAGTTCCCTTTTGTGGATGAAAATTATTTTTTTAAAATGGTCATTTACAAGTATTTCTAGCTGCTGCTAGTAGAAATACTATTTGGAACAAGAATATTGATACCTTGGTGTGTTCTCTTGGGGCCTACTATAATACAGCGGTTAATGACTACCAAATGCAACACTGTTGTATGCAAACAGGATAGTCATCAATCTATCACACATTTCAGGTATCTCAAAAGTAGGTAATACATACACACACTTTAGAGAAAAGTGTAAAATGGGTGGGGGAACCCAAAAATATTTAGCTAATTTCTTCTCCTCCTTCTAACTTCCCATTCTTTTTGAATGTCTAATTTACTTGCAGGTACCTGTATAGTTAAGTCAACTTCATTCCCTCCATTAGAAACATTGCACGTTTTGTTCCAACTACTAGCTCTTGTTTAATGGTTCTGCTCTACAGAGTAGCAGGTATTCCATAAGCATGGAATTTAATTTGAAAGTGAAAAATGAAAGCACATTAGGGTGAGTCAACACTGCAAGTTGACTTTTTATTGGTATTACTACTTCTGCTAATCAGGTATCTCCAAGTTCACAGAGAAGAAAAATAAAAGAATAAAGTTCCAACTTGCACAGAGCTACCATGTGCAATCTCTTTGTTCTGCAGTGCTACAATCCAGGTAGTCTGTCTGAAAATTAGTATCTAAATAGAAATGAACTGCATAGATTAAAGAAGAGATGAGAAAGTTTAAATTGATCACCATGAGACTTTGGAAAGGAAAAAAGTTAATTTTCTTTTGTACTGGTACCTGAAATGAAGATGAGCATGAGACAGCACAAGATGACAACAGTCTTCCTAGTAGAAGCTGTTACATATTCCTCAGAACAAGCAAACAAGGTCATACAAAGTAAATTAAAAGAACTACCATAGAAGGTATGGTATTCCTGTACCAAAAAAGAATTGTTTTGTAGGCCTGTGTACAGTATCACATACCTTGTGATCCTCTCTGTGACTGTGTGTCTTAAGTGGCACAGTAATACAAAGAATACTAACATGGAAAAAAGGATGCATTTGCCCAACACAGAAGTGGCTGGACAGCTTCTTTTAGTATGTCTAAAATGGGACCTGTCTAAAATGGCCACATGAACAACCCTGCAGCACCCAAATAGACAAGGTGTCTCACAAGCAGTAGCAACAACATACTAAACAGCAGCAATGGTGTATCACTTGGAAATCCTGCATAAGGATGAAATAAAAGCCTTTATCCACAAGAAGTCTGGAAAGCTGTGGAAAATTTATAATAGGGCAGGTGACAGCTTGGAGCAGAAGCACATGTAACTTTCTACACATAGCAGCAAGCTCAGGATTGCTGGAGGTCAAAGTAGCTCTTTAACAGCTGTGCAGCATGTGTATCCATGAATACATTATCATTCCGGCAATGTGGAACCTTAAAGCATCAAAGTAATTCATTAAATGGCCATTGTGAGTGCTGAGCCCTAACTCCAAGTACTGACATATTGCTACTAATGCTCCTCCAGCTTCTGCTCTTGACAAGCAGCTAAGAAGGAAAATGCACCTATGCACAGCCTTTGTGCACTGCTCTTCTGAGAGTGGCTCACTGCTATAAAGAGTAAGTTTTCTCTGTAGCATTTACCATGTCTCATAGTTTTTCCATGCTGCTTGATGTAAGCTTTCTTTGAATTGATAAAATTCACCTGATGCACTCCCTCAAGTCCTCCAGACCCGGAAAAGTTAGTGTTATTCATTATGTGTTGTAGCACTATTTTTTTTTTTAACTTAAAACTTCAATTAAAAATACTCAGAAATTTATGTTGATGTGAGGTTGGGATCTATTTTTAAAATTTTAAGCCATGCACTCCTCAAACCACATGTACATTAATTCTTTTTAAGTTAATAAATCACAAATGTTCCAAACATCAGGCTCTTGCTTCGATAGTGTTAGCATAGTCAGGCAAATGGAGAAAAGCATTTAGCTAATAAGGCAACCATGAGATGTTATTTTTCTACTGAGCAACTTACCAAGAAAATGTACATTTGGTATGAAAACAGGTACAGATTAGAAACACAAAACAGGTACAGTTAATTTGTCTAAATGGCACGTTAATTCAATAACTGACCAAAACCCAATCCTGCAAAATCTTACATGTAGGTACTTGCAGGTGCTTAATTCCCCTAAGAAATACACACATGAAATTTTACTAGTGTGAGGTCTTAATGAGGTCTAAAGAACACTTAACTGCTCCTTTACACAGAGTTGATTTGTGGGATGCAAGGCATGAAAACAGTATTGCATGACAGGTAGGTGGAAGATACCTTACCTATAAATGCTCAGCACTTAGGTAGACAGAAGTCTGATCGTGTTGGTCTCCATACTTAAATCAAGCCAGTGTATTACAGAGACTTACCCTTGCAACTCTGCATTATAGCTGCACTTACTCTTCAGGGAACTGTACAAGTTCTTACCTTACCTGTATACTTCTATTGAGAAAACTGTACCTCTAAGACCCAGTCTTCATTCTTCACACATTAATGACACAATAAATATTGCCATCATGCTTTTGTCTTGCGGCTTAGGATGAGAAACATTATGATGTACCACTTGCAAATGCACAGGTCTGAGTCTTAAAAGAGAATATTGATCCAGGAGACTGTCCCTGTATTTTGGTACTAGATAGCAGCTTTATGTCAGGTGTAGTGCTTTCATGACAAGTAACATAGGCCAACATGGGACAATGTACAGTACAAGTTCTGCTAGCCCAGATTCTCAGGCCAGAAGACATTTGAGAGTCTAGCTCTGAAAAATATTAACTCCAATTCTTTTGTAACATGGCCTTTATGAGAAAAATCACAAGCACTGCAGATATTTCAATCATTAAATGTGCAGTTGTCCTGGTTTCGGCAGGGATAGAGTTAATTTCCTTCCTAGGAAGGAAAGGACAGCAGGTAATACCCATTAATAACGTTACACACTCCCAGTATAAAACCATAATGGTTATCAACTGGATTAATTCTAAATCAGCAGCTTCACACACAGCATGGGAAATGCTAACTTCAAGCATGGCATCCAACTATCAAATTCTGCCAACCTTTGCTTCTTCCATGCAGGGCCAAATTGGAAGAAAATCAGCTGGATCCAACCTAGTTCACTAGCTTAGGTGCTTTATGTTGCAAGGAGAAAGGAGAGATGGCCCCTGGGGCCAGGTAAAGGAACAGAGCCAATACTTGTAAGGAGAATGTGACCGACTGTAGGCAAAAAGGAAGCAATACTAGTATTTGGGGGCGTATGAGAAGGGGACAAAATAGAAAGCAAAAGGAATAGGGTGGAGGCAGCAACACTCTCGTAACAGTAAGAAAGAGGTCAGAAACCACAGATGTAGAAATTAAACATCCCTCTCCCACACACAGCACCCTATGAAAGGAATGAGTGCATATGGGGGGATGCTTTCACCTTCTTAGGAAGCATAAGGAACTTGTCACGTTCAGAAACAAACAAATCTGATGACAGGTCCAGTTGATCTGGTACAGCAAATCCTATGTCGACTTACCCTTCAACATCATTGTTGCGGCATCTGGGTTAATCTGCAATGTGCAATCACTACAAATCTTCCTGTGCTCTTTGTTTTGTCTACAACAGGGCCTCCATGAGCTGTCTGCTCACAGATACATCAATCCCAATTTGTAATAAGCTAGTTGTCAAAAACAAAACAAAAAACCAAAACCAAAACAAACCAACACCAAAAACATTTCTTCTTGTTTTAGAGATTGCCTCTCCATTCAGGCTCTGGCTGCTGACTATAGTTTATGCTAAGAACATGGAATTCACTGGAGGAAACACACACACGAAAGAGAAATAAAGGAAAAGTCCAAGGATTCTTGAGGAAAGTAGTCAGTAACAGACAGGAGAAAAATCACAGCACTACATTAGGCAGCCATGGCCATACATTCCACTCCTGACACCGCTGGGTGAAACTTGCCACCTCAAGTTTATTTTCCTTGAATTTCAAAAAGCTTTTTTTGTATATCAAGCAGCAAACACTGCACTCTCTACAAGCAGGACAAAAAAAATTTAATAATTTCAATTAAATTAGCAAATGGCAGAAAATTAAGCAACATTCCAAGCATTTGGAATTATTTCAATTAAATTAGCAAATGGCAGTAAATTAAGCAATATTCCAAACATTTCAGTGTCTCGTACACAGCTACTTTCAGTGGCTCTGAATGCATGAAAACGCTGTTCCAGCTTGAGCCACTGGATGAATGCACAGGTACTCTAATCATAAACCCTTGTGCTTCTGGCAGTGATGGGTGCAAAACCCATTACAAGCTTTTACTAATGCTATTAACATGTTAATAGCAGCAGTCTGAACTGCTCAGGGTGTCTTTAGTAGAAACAGTTATGTATTACATTTACTAATATTTCAGTATTTTAGCAGTCTTTGACCTATTTCTCAGCCTTCATAGTATCAAGATACATCAATATTGGAGAGAAAGATAAACTGCTGATTCTTCCATGCTCAGCTACAGATCCGTAAGTCTTGAACTAGAATTCTAGTCATATTGGAACAGGCTGCCCAGGGAAGTGGTTGAGTCACCATCCCTGGACGTATTTAAAAGACGTGTAGATGAGGCGCTTAGGGACATGGTTTAGTGGGCATGGTGGTGTTGGGTTCACAGTTGGACTCGATGATCTTAGATGTCTCTTCCAACCTTAATGATTCTATGATTACCCTATGCAGTCAGAACTAGCCTACAGTGAAGAACACTAAAAAAAAAAAAGCCTAACATCTTACTGATGCAGGCCTTGAGAACCTCATGCTCTAGCTATGAATTCACCACCAAAATACCCAGTTTGACATTTTAA